GTAAGGTGCCCCCGCGCACTGACTTCGGACCTTTGGTAAAAGTCGGAATTTTTGATTTATTCTAAAATGTGATTGGATCACAATAATTATAAGCTTTTGGAAAATTTTAAAGCTACAATATCAACTCTGATTTAATTAGTAATTTATACAGTTTTTTTACTCAAATGCTATTAGGAACATCATTGATGATATTATCATATTGCTATTTAAAGTACATATTCAGAGCTTGGTTTACTCGAATTAGAGTCATTATTTATGCAAATTCTTCTATTCTTGTTTCATATTAATTTGCATTTTTTATCCACTTACTTAATAAATTTAGTTTAGGATTACATAAAATTTTATCATAACAAGGAATAGTTTATATTATATAAATGAATTGTTGGGATTTGATTTTTAAAGCTTTGCTCTATCTTTTTACTGAAAAAGAAAACAACCTGAGAAATATTGGATAAACTTTAATTGCTGTTTTCATTTTAATTGCAGTTGCGTCTTTGATGTCTCTGTTTTTTTAGTATTCATTGTCAGAACTGAAACCCAAATAATTATACAAATTTTGGTCACGAAGGCCTGCTTATTTCAAAGAAATTTTTAATATTATTAATGTTAATAGGATGTTAAAGAAACCCTATTGTGCAATGTGTTATTATTGCATTGATTAACACTTTATATATTACTTTGATATTAACTTGTAAAATGGTGAATAATAAAATCGATTTGGTAGTAATTCTCATTTTTGAGATCCCTATTATTCTTGTTACATTGCTTAATCTTTCGTTCGATTCAAACTTTGTTAAATTTATAAGTCCATAAGTTTAAGTTTGGATAGGCTTTGTACAAATTGGTCTTATGTCTATTGGAATAACAGCTCCATTGACTAAATATGTCTCCGAAATTAAGTATAAAATAAAGTAGCTAATAGAAAAATGGAAATAAGATAAAATCAAAAAACAGTAAAAACAGAGTCAATCTACAAATATATTTATTTGAATGAAATTTATAGTATTCACAAACACTATTAATTTTTAAGACTCTATTTTCATATTTCATATATTTAATATTAATTGAGTTAATACATGATGAATGATAATTATTTACTTATAAATATTATAAGATTATTCAACACATCTATTTATTTAAAGATATTAAATTGCTATTAACAAAGTAACCATTTATTATTTTTGTAATATTTAAATAAGTAATTTAAAATACAATTTTGATATTATTAGCACATCTCATTTCTTTAAATAATTTTATTATCTAATAATATATTTCATTTTTCTTATAAAATACTTATTTAAAAATAAACTCTTTATTGATTTTCATACAGATAATTTTGTATAAGTTATTATCTAAGACACAAAGTTTATATGTAATTAGCTAAATATAACCCATTTCGTTTAAGGAATACCCACTAATCATCAAATTCTAATAGAGAAGAACCAAAAGATTTTCCATGTAGAATAGACTGCAAATTAGCTTAAAGGCAGTAGCTACTATAAGGTCACATCAATCAACTTCAAATTTTGAAATAATTTATGAGATCAAATCTGATTGCCTAAGCATTAATTAAAGCATAATACATTTTCCTTATCACCCATATTTTCAGCGGAGCCATGTAAGAAAAACCAAAGCTTAGTCAATTAAATAGTTACCCTAGAAGTTTGCCTTCGTTTTAATAATAAAATACTGATTTTCATTAAGACACCCATAAGCGGGAATAGAAGAATTCCAAATTATATAAGCTTCACTCAACCAGTCCTAATTCCTCAAAATCAGAATATTTCTCCTCACATTATCAGGTAGGTTTATTTCTTAATATTACTTTAAACCATAAGATTCAATCCATAAACTATTTAAAAATGGTGATGGTGAAAACATTTGCATACTCAAATACTCTCAAAGCCTTAAATAAATCTCTTGTTGGGAAAGGTTCTCTGATTCTCTGGTAGCTTAGATGTCATGATCATCTTTATCATTTTCTGGTTCAATTTATTTATAACTATTCAAAATAAATGTCAAATAGAAAGTTGCCAATTAGGACCTAATGTAGCTATTTAGAAAAAGACATCTCTTTCATAATTAATTCATATTTTTAGATTCACCCAAGAGTGAATTTTCCTTTTACAAAAATGCCCTTCTATCTAAACTCTTTCCTGGAATATCAACAATTTCCTATCTTCCTACCATAGTATAGGCATTTGATATAAGTTACATACTTTTGAGCTTCAAAATTAATGAATCTAAAGGTTAGGTAAACCTTATCAATTTTTCATATTGTGTAGGGGATGTTTTTATAAACAAGAAGGGTGTGATTCTCTAAATATCCTTCCATTAAAGATTCGAAGTACTTATATGGTAATTGTTTCCCAAAAGCAACTCTAACATTTCAGAAAAATCTTTTAACTTGGAAGGTATTCTCATTCTAACAAATAGCATCGTATTAGCTACTTTTCCTGACTCAATATTATACATCATATGCATCAATAAATTCGAAATTATTGAGTACTTTGTAATTGATTGAGTATCCCTATTCCAAACTAGAATACTCACAGTTTATTTTAATATCCAGACAAATTTCTGGTATTCCCAAGACTTAATTACTCTTCATAGTCACCAAGTCTTGCAAAAAGAATTGTGGGTAGATTAATCGAAGATTTGATATTTATGCTCTTTAAATCTGGTTATTCCGGTCTTAATTTATTCTCCTATTATTAACTAAATTTTATGAGTAACTTTATTCTCCAATGGTCGAATATAGAGTCTAGAACCACT